CCTGCATGAAGAACACTACAAACTCCACCATGATCTCTGCATGAAGAACACTACAAACTGCACCATGATCTCTGCATGAAGAACACTACAAACTCCACCATGATCTCTGCATGAAGAACACTACAAACTCCACCATGATCTCTGCATGAAAAATCTACAAGATGCACCATGGTCTCTCTATGAAGAAAGCTACAAGGTCTACCTTCATCTCCGCATGCTTGGTCCATTTGGCGCAGTCCCACACTGAAAGCGTGTGCTCGTTGGAGTCGTCTATTACACACAGGAAGGCTCCCGAATCCTTCAGAGAATGAAGAGAGGAGGAAGACAGAATGAGACAATGTGATTTCAGTGCAATATGGCTGCCTGCCACGTTTTCAAAAGGTCATCGCATCTCTAACATTCCAGGGCACAAAACGGCAGAACCACTCAGACAGACTCTTTCAGAGGGACACTTGGGAACAGCATTTCCCTTGAGTGGATGCATATCTGTTATTCCTCCCAGAATGCTCAGCATGACAGACTGAAAATGACTCGCCTTCACCCTCGTTAGTACTGCTGAACTAATCTGCTGATCATCAGGTCTGTGTAAACAACACAAAGTCAAGTGAAGCACTAACTACTTCCATTGTGTCCACTGGACGTGTTCCTGCAGATACTCACGCCATGGGAGAAGGCAACACAGCCCACTCCTCTTTCAAAGCTGCCCAGACCGATCTGCTGCAGGGTGACCAGCGTGGTGGAGCTCCAGATGTGGACGAGAGGCTGCAGAGGCTGAGGGGGAGACACCCAGGCAGAACATGCAGCAGATACAAGCAAACAGACCTCGTCCAGCAACTGAAATCTCTTTAGGTCAAGACATACTCTGTCTGACTTCACAATGGGGAGAGTCTCTGTTTCCAAATGGACTCTCTTAAAAACTCTTGCCTCTTAAAAAAGTTCATTCAAACACATCATAAAAGTCATTGATATGAATGCAATTCATGCTTTCCCTTATTGCCCCTGGCATTCTGCCGGGGACGCCGACCTCACCTTTCCGTCCTTGTCCACTCCGGCCATCTGTCCGGACGCCACACGCACCTTGTCAGGGTGGATGGTGAGGCTGGGGCGAGACGCACACAGGTGAGGGAGACGCTCCGCCCCGCGTCCAATGGGGACGCAATTCAGAGCCCCGCCAATGGCATCCCCCGACCAATAATATGTCAGAAAGCTTAAACGCCACTCCCACATCGATTTTGGGACATTTCATTTACAAATGCTGGCTCTGGCTACACCGGATTATCCGACACAAAAATGCTGAGTGTTCATTGGCCGAGCCAAGCCAAGCCAGACCAGGCATACTGACCAGCGCACACAGTCGGTATGTTTGAGGTAGTGCCTCTGCGTCTGCTTGTGGATGTGGTAGAGCACTACCACACAGGCGATGAAGTACAGCACCTCCCCCGTCGGCAGCAGGTAGAGGTTTTCCCTGCAGTCCCGCCCACGGTATCCATAGCTTAACACAAGTCAAGGTGCAGAAAAAGAGGCTTGTGCAAGTACATTTATTTTGGAATTAAGTTAATTGGCCATTAAAAATAAGGCCAAGAATGAATGCAATTACCCAAGTGGAATCTGGCCTTGGTATTCCCGCTGGAAAGATAAACAGGGGTGGAGTGACAGAAGGTCCCGTAAAGCAGGGCCAGCAGGCAGGTCTACGAAGTCCTCTTTCATTTTCCCGAAAATTACAGCCTCATGCCTAACCCTAACCCTAACCCTCAAAACAAGCACAGGCCTCGCAGACAGGGCCTCGCTCTTGCCGACTCAGGAAAATCCACGTTTGTGATGCCAGAAAAGCCCAAAAGATCAACGCAACTGGGAAGGTCCAGATGATTTAAAATTGCGGGACTGAAGAACAAAGGCGTTATTTGATAGGCCAGAAAGCTACCCCAGGCAAGCTTCCTGTAGCTACTTCCCTGCCAAGAGAGAAGCCCTAAGGGTTACTTTCAGTGCATGTGGGCCTCGATAACCAGCTAGTGGCTTTCAGGCTGCGGATCAGAAGGATACACCCAGTCGAGCTGCAGCTTCTCCACAGGGGGCTCCATTCGGAGATCCTCATAGTTCTGTATATTGGAGGGGATGTACATGGTGATGGGCCGCCCGCGAATGAACATCTTTATGGAATGACCTGCCAGACAAGTCCAGGCATTTATGCTTGATTCAGCACAGAGGGAGATTACAGCATCCTGCCTCAAGGCCGTAAAATACCTTGGCATTTTCTGGTCACAGCGTTCCTTAGAGGCCTTTTAAGTGCACAAATATAGAACATTTTATAACTGTCATTACAGCTTTCAGCAGGCAACGTGCTGGTTAACTTTTGTGGTGAAGATTTGAATTTCTCAAAAAACATGTGTTACTATGTCATTTTGCAGTGACTATCAGACATTGTATTTTAGTGTTGGCTAATGATTGTACTTTGGTTTCCACAATTTGAGTAGTTTATTAAACACTTTAAAAACTAATATAACTGCAATACCTAAATGTTTAAAAATATGTATTCTGTTGTGATTGCGCTCACAGTTATACAAAGATTTCACGATGACAGAAAAGTTTTAATATTAAAATCTATCACGAGCAGCGTTCAGAAAAGTTTACTCAACAGCACATTTTAATTGTGATACTGTCCAGAAGAGTTCAGTGTAACACAAAAATTAGCAACAAAATAAACAAGTTTAGTCATGTGACTACAGAGTGGCTGGTACTTACCCTGACCATAGGTTCCTCTTCTAGACCCTAAAGAAAGGACGACCATTCAGTACAGAGACAGACACACACACACACACACACACACACACACACAAAATGGTCAGAATCACACCAAAAAAGATGGACAACCAGCTACAATCGAAGCTTGTGTACCTGGTATTAAAGTAACCAGCACACTGAACTAACTGCCACAATTATAAAATTTCAGTGTCAAAATTCAAAATTCACACTATTCTATTAAAATGTTCACTAACTAAAATAACAAGAAAAGTATTGCACATCCCTAGAGAGCGGCAGGTTTTAGTGGCCTTCCTGCTTGTTCCACCTTTCTTTACCTCGCAATCACAGGATGATGGCAGAGACATTGCAGCATGTTAGAATAACAGCAGAATAATCATCAGCATGTGTGTACAAAAGGATTAAAGTAACTAGGAAATGTGTTACAATTCAGTGTTTCTCATGTGTAACATTGAACTATCTAGAGAATTAAACTATGCTACACAATGTTGCCAGATATTGGCACAAATTTCTGCTGCACAAACATGCATACAGAACCACGTAAAAACACAAAGATGACATTTAATCATAAGACCTACTTATAAAGAACTTCTTAAAAACCGGAATACTGAGGGGTTTTGGGGTTATCGACCTTCCTAATCTTTCTGCACAACATCCAGCAGACATCTTGGCATAATCACCCAGCATATGACAGACATTCAGGGCCGGGGGGGGGGGGGGGGGGGGAGTGTAGCACTTCTCGGTGCCCCCATGAATGCAGTAAAGGTGTGCAGCAGTTTGACACATATAACACATATCTAAATGAAGAAAATAAAACTCAAAAACTATACAATAGACCACTGAGACCTCAAAAAACAATACCACATACAGCTCTGGTCGCCTTATTCCGAAATGGACATTCTTGCATTAGAAAACAAGAATGGCTCCCAGTTCTAATTGTTATATACCAGTTTATTCTGCAGAAATTAAACAGGTGGACTGCATGGTCCATGCATGCAGAGACTGGAAGCTTGCAGGACCTGATCCAGGAATACTGGAAGATGACAGTTCTGATACAATGGACATCGGATAAGATCAGAGCTGAGAAAACAGAAATTCCAAATTGCTTCTTTCTCACCCCATAAACCTGAGTACCAAAGAGTTCCATGTTTTCTCAAGTCATTTAGTCAGAACCCGAAACTGTTCCCTTTGGGGTTAGAGCAAGACCCCAAAGAAAAGGCCGTCATCCATCATCGTGACAGCGCCGGAGCTCAGTGCCAGTGCGTCACGGTGGAATAATCAGTCTGCATTTAAAACGTCACACTAGTTCTACCTCCCCAGTAAAAGTCGATTTTAACACTGAAAGCAATCAGTTTTAAACCTGCCTTCCTGGTGTCCAAGTTTCAATGAGGATTCCAACACAAAACACAAGACACAGGCAAATTAATGTCCGAGACAAGAGAACGTAGTATTTTTGGATCTAAAAGTCATTCACAATTCACAAGAAATTTTAGACACAGGCGGGACGCAGGGTGGATGTTTGTCCCCCTCCTGGACGGGGGATTTTACTCAATTGTGTAATATTTGCACAGCTCACTACCTGAAGACCGTTCTTCTTGCTGAGTTATGAGAAAAAGAACAAAGGGCGCACAGACTGTTTCATATATCAGACCATTTGTTTACTAAGCAAACTTTCCCTCAGCTGTACATATAATTACGATGAATGGAGACTCTGTCAAATTCAACGCAGAAATCACCATGAGCCTAGCAGAAAAACTCTGACCTAAGTAAGTAAACATACAAAAGTAACAAACACACACATAAAATCCACTGCATCCATTACCTGAGCTGGAAACGAGATCTTTCGCTCGGCTGTGGAGACAAACAAAGAACAGGTGCTTAGTGTCACTGCGGGTCCTGAAATGGTGACGTCAACCAGACGGACAAGCTGACCAGTCAGAACAACACCTCACAATCCCAAAATACACCTCAACACGCGACAGCAAAGCAGCCTTAGTTTCTGACCCTACAATCTTTGAAATCTTTGTCATCCCACATTTTTTGGTCAAAGATATAAATATGAAACTGGATGCATGAATTCTATTTACTTGCCAACTACAGCGGCTTGATAACCCCTGACTGTGGCACAGAAACAGTCTGTAATCTGTAATTGGCATCTTGCAGTACAGTAATTGGCCTGCATTCTGCGGCTGACTTGCTGCTGACGATGAGCGGGCACCCCCCCCCTGCCTGAGCCCCGGCA